GAGGAGGCTGTGAGGAGGGGGAGGCTGTGAGGAGGGGAGGGGGCTGTGAGGAGGGGAGGGGGCTGTGAGGAGGGGGGGGCTGTGAGGAGGGGGGGGCTGTGAGGAGGGGAGGGGGCTGTGAGGAGGGGAGGGGGCTGTGAGGGGGGGAGGGGGCTGTGAGGGGGGGAGGGGGCTGTGAGGAGGGGAGGGGGCTGTGAGGAGGGGAGGGGGCTGTGAGGAGGGGAGGAGGCTGTGAGGAGGGGGAGGCTGTGAGGAGGGGAGGGGGCTGTGAGGAGGGGAGGGGGCTGTGAGGAGGGGAGGGGGCTGTGAGGAGGGGAGGAGGCTGTGAGGAGGGGGAGGCTGTGAGGAGGGGAGGGGGCTGTGAGGAGGGGAGGGGGCTGTGAGGAGGGGGGGGCTGTGAGGAGGGGGGGGCTGTGAGGAGGGGAGGGGGCTGTGAGGAGGGGAGGGGGCTGTGAGGAGGGGAGGGGGCTGTGAGGAGGGGAGGGGGCTGTGAGGAGGGGAGGAGGCTGTGAGGAGGGGGAGGCTGTGAGGAGGGGAGGGGGCTGTGAGGAGGGGAGGGGGCTGTGAGGAGGGGGGGGCTGTGAGGAGGGGAGGGGGCTGTGAGGAGGGGAGGGGGCTGTGAGGAGGGGAGGGGGCTGTGAGGAGGGGAGGAGGCTGTGAGGAGGGGGAGGCTGTGAGGAGGGGAGGGGGCTGTGAGGAGGGGAGGGGGCTGTGAGGAGGGGGGGGCTGTGAGGAGGGGAGGGGGCTGTGAGGAGGGGAGGGGGCTGTGAGGAGGGGGGGGCTGTGAGGAGGGGAGGGGGCTGTGAGGAGGGGAGGGGGCTGTGAGGAGGGGAGGGGGCTGTGAGGAGGGGAGGGGGCTGTGAGGAGGGGAGGAGGCTGTGAGGAGGGGGAGGCTGTGAGGAGGGGAGGGGGCTGTGAGGAGGGGAGGGGGCTGTGAGGAGGGGGGGGCTGTGAGGAGGGGAGGGGGCTGTGAGGAGGGGAGGAGGCTGTGAGGAGGGGGAGGCTGTGAGGAGGGGAGGGGGCTGTGAGGAGGGGAGGGGGCTGTGAGGAGGGGGGGGCTGTGAGGAGGGGGGGGCTGTGAGGAGGGGAGGGGGCTGTGAGGAGGGGAGGGGGCTGTGAGGAGGGGAGGGGGCTGTGAGGAGGGGAGGGGGCTGTGAGGAGGGGAGGAGGCTGTGAGGAGGGGGAGGCTGTGAGGAGGGGAGGGGGCTGTGAGGAGGGGAGGGGGCTGTGAGGAGGGGGGGGCTGTGAGGAGGGGAGGGGGCTGTGAGGAGGGGAGGAGGCTGTGAGGAGGGGGAGGCTGTGAGGAGGGGAGGGGGCTGTGAGGAGGGGAGGGGGCTGTGAGGAGGGGGGGGCTGTGAGGAGGGGAGGGGGCTGTGAGGAGGGGGGAGGCTGTGAGGAGGGGGGGGCTGTGAGGAGGGGAGGGGGCTGTGAGGAGGGGGGGGCTGTGAGGAGGGGAGGGGGCTGTGAGGAGGGGAGGGGGCTGTGAGGAGGGGGGAGGCTGTGAGGAGGGGGGGGCTGTGAGGAGGGGAGGGGGCTGTGAGGAGGGGGGGGCTGTGAGGAGGGGAGGGGGCTGTGAGGAGGGGAGGGGGCTGTGAGGGGGGGAGGGGCTGTGAGGAGGGGAGGGGGCTGTGAGGAGGGGGGGGCTGTGAGGAGGGGAGGGGGCTGTGAGGAGGGGAGGGGGCTGTGAGGAGGGGAGGGGCTGTGAGGAGGGGAGGGGGCTGTGAGGAGGGGAGGGGGCTGTGAGGAGGGGAGGGGGCTGTGAGGGGGGGAGGGGGCTGTGAGGGGGGGAGGAGGCTGTGAGGAGGGGGAGGCTGTGAGGAGGGGAGGGGGCTGTGAGGAGGGGAGGGGGCTGTGAGGGGGGGAGGGGGCTGTGAGGGGGGGAGGGGGCTGTGAGGGGGGGAGGGGGCTGTGAGGAGGGGAGGGGGCTGTGAGGAGGGGGGAGGCTGTGAGGAGGGGAGGCTGTGAGGAGGGGAGGGGGCTGTGAGGAGCGGAGGGGGCTGTGAGGAGGGGAGGAGGCTGTGAGGAGGGGGAGGCTGTGAGGAGGGGGAGGCTGTGAGGAGGGGAGGGGGGGGCTGTGAGGAGGGGAGGGGGCTGTGAGGAGGGGAGGGGGCTGTGAGGAGGGGAGGGGGCTGTGAGGGGGGGAGGGGGCTGTGAGGAGGGGAGGGGGCTGTGAGGAGGGGAGGGGGCTGTGAGGAGGGGAGGAGGCTGTGAGGAGGGGGAGGCTGTGAGGAGGGGAGGGGGCTGTGAGGGGGGGAGGAGGCTGTGAGGAGGGGGAGGCTGTGAGGAGGGGAGGGGGCTGTGAGGAGGGGAGGGGGCTGTGAGGGGGGGAGGGGGCTGTGAGGGGGGGAGGGGGCTGTGAGTGGGGGAGGGGGCTGTGAGGAGGGGAGGGGGCTGTGAGGAGGGGAGGGGGCTGTGAGGGGGGGAGGGGGCTGTGAGGGGGGGAGGGGGCTGTGAGGGGGGGAGGGGGCTGTGAGGAGGGGGGGGCTGTGAGGAGGGGAGGGGGCTGTGAGGAGGGGGGGGCTGTGAGGGGGGGAGGGGCTGTGAGGAGGGGGAGGCTGTGAGGAGGGGGGAGGCTGTGAGGAGGGGAGGGGGCTGTGAGGAGGGGGGGCTGTGAGGAGGGGAGGGGCTGTTAGGAGGGGGAGGCTGTGAGGAGGGGAGGCTGTGAGGAGGGGAGGGGGCTGTGAGGAGGGGGGGCTGTGAGGAGGGGAGGGGCTGTGAGGAGGGGGAGGCTGTGAGGAGGGGAGGCTGTGAGGAGGGGAGGGGGCTGTGAGGAGGGGGGAGGCTGTGAGGAGGGGGGAGGCTGTGAGGAGGGGGGGCTGTGAGGAGGGGAGGGGCTGTGAGGAGGGGGGAGGCTGTGAGGAGGGGGGAGGCTGTGAGGAGGGGAGGGGGCTGTGAGGAGGGGGGAGGCTGTGAGGAGGGGAGGGGGCTGTGAGGAGGGGGGGGCTGTGAGGAGGGGAGGGGGCTGTGAGGAGGGGGGAGGCTGTGAGGAGGGGGGGCTGTGAGGAGGGGGAGGCTGTGAGGAGGGGAGGCTGTGAGGAGGGGAGGGGGCTGTGAGGAGGGGGGAGGCTGTGAGGAGGGGGGAGGCTGTGAGGAGGGGAGGGGGCTGTGAGGAGGGGGGAGGCTGTGAGGAGGGGAGGGGCTGTGAGGAGGGGGGAGGCTGTGAGGAGGGGGGAGGCTGTGAGGAGGGGAGGGGGCTGTGAGGAGGGGGGAGGCTGTGAGGAGGGGAGGGGGCTGTGAGGAGGGGGGAGGCTGTGAGGAGGGGAGGGGGCTGTGAGGAGGGGGGAGGCTGTGAGGAGGGGAGGGGGCTGTGAGGAGGGGGGGGCTGTGAGGAGGGGAGGGGGCTGTGAGGAGGGGGGGCTGTGAGGAGGGGGGAGGCTGTGAGGAGGGGGGAGGCTGTGAGGAGGGGGGGCTGTGAGGAGGGGGAGGCTGTGAGGAGGGGAGGCTGTGAGGAGGGGAGGGGCTGTGAGGAGGGGGGAGGCTGTGAGGAGGGGGGAGGCTGTGAGGAGGGGAGGGGGCTGTGAGGAGGGGGGAGGCTGTGAGGAGGGGAGGGGCTGTGAGGAGGGGGGAGGCTGTGAGGAGGGGGGAGGCTGTGAGGAGGGGAGGGGGCTGTGAGGAGGGGGGAGGCTGTGAGGAGGGGAGGGGGCTGTGAGGAGGGGGGAGGCTGTGAGGAGGGGAGGGGGCTGTGAGGAGGGGGGAGGCTGTGAGGAGGGGAGGGGGCTGTGAGGAGGGGGGGGCTGTGAGGAGGGGAGGGGGCTGTGAGGAGGGGAGGGGGCTGTGAGGAGGGGGGGGGGGCTGTGAGGAGGGCGGGCTGTGAGGAGGGGAGGGGGCTGTGAGGAGGGGAGGGGAGGAGGTGTGGCTTTCTAGCATAGGAGGAGAGTGGAAGTAGAGGACAGTGGAATGTAGAGAGTAGGTAATAAAGAAAAGGAAGCAGAGAAAGGGAAGGGTGGCCATGGTCCTGGAGGCAGAACCTGTGGCCAGCACATGCGCTGGCAGCTCTGCCTCTCGCATCCCAAGTCCCAGGGTTGTATGCTGCCCCTTCATGGTCTCCTCCTGTCCTTAGCAAGCACGTTAATGTCAGCCTGTGGAAACAGCTGTTCTTTCCTCTGTGAAGAGGCTGTAGCCAGGCACTGGTGGCTCATGCCTGTAACACTAGCTATTCAGGAGGTTGAGATCTGAGGATCGAAGTTCAAAGCTAGCCCAGGCAGAAAAATCTGCATGAGTCTCTTACTTAACCACTCAAAACCCAGAAGTAGTAGAGCACTAGTCTTGAGCACAGAGAGGCTCAGGGACAGTGCCCAGGTCCTGAGTTCAAGCCCCATAACTGACAAAAAGGCTGCTTGTCACTGAGATAACGGATAGCAGGAGACGGTTAGGTCAAAGTTAGCGTGAGATCAGTGCTGTGAGTAACCCTCTCTCCCATTGGTGTTTGTGAATGCAGTGATGCCAGCAAATAGGTGCTGCAGGCTTAGGCTCGAATGTTTTAGATTATCCCCCCAAAAGCCTCAGAACGTAGTTCCACTATGGGTTACATAGATGGACTATGTGAATTATTTAATGAAAAGTGTCATCTCTGTCCTTTTACTCCTGTGGTGTTTTTTTTTTAACCTCAGTGGATCATATTTACTGTTTTTTTCCATAATACTATTTAAGTTAAATTCTTCTGTGAAGAATTTACATACATATCCCACAAATAGGTGGATGCACAGAAGGTATAAAAATAGTCACAAACTAACTGGCAAATTGAGATGATAGCAGTCTGTTGTGCTTCATAGTCACATGATTATGTACACTCATTTGTTGGGGACTGCTGTCATTAAACTAGAAATTGTGCCTAGAGTTTGAGCACTCAAAGTCTGCTTGTCAGCTCTGTGCAAAATGCTGGTGCCTCACAGATATTCCAGTAAGTTTTAAGAAGAAAGAAAGGCTGCTTATGAAGGGCCGGAACATGTGAATAGGGCTTAGCGACTGGTGTGTTCCTGATTGAGTTTGTGTGTCCTCAGCGGATCCCAACAGTGAGCGCGAGAAGGTGGAATTTGTGAACCTGGTGCTGCTCTTCTGTGAGTTCATCCGCCATGACATCTTCTCCCATGATGCCTACATGTGCACCCTCATCTCCCGAGGAGACCTGTCAGTCACTGGACCGCAGTCCCCAGCAGGAGACCACATGGATGAGCACTGTTTGAAGGACCGTGACGGGAGGATGGAGGTAGGGCCCGTGAGCAATGCTCACCTCCAGCCCACACCGCCTTCTCGAGTGGCTAGTTTGGTGATCTAATGGTGGTTGAGTTTTAGTTGTGTACTTTCTTCTCTTCACTCAGAAAGGTCATTTAAACTCTGCCTTCCAGAATTTTCTTTTGTGTATCACAAGACTGTTTAATGAAGAGATGTATGGCCAGCTATAAAAAATGATGTTATAGATTAAATTGATATGCTTCAAGTGTTATCTATTTCTAGCTTCTAGTTTTCTTTTAATCTTGTACTCCAGACTGAATCTGCTTTGACCAAAAATCCCATTTGAATTTTCATTCTAAGGAGCATCTTTTCCCCAATGTACTGTTCATTACATATCTCACTCTTATACATAGTGGGAAATGATGTTTCAGTCAGAATGTATCTTATTTTTCAATTAATTAAAAATTGAATCTCTGTTTCTCAAATGTCTTATTATTTATACTGTGGCATCTCTGTCAAATGCTGCTATTTTGGACATGGTTCCAGATATTTCAAATTTCAAGTAAAAAAGAGGACAAATCATAGAAATGGGAAGTAGAAAATGTTAAAGATTTGTTGTATCCTCAAATGTACAGGATTTTAAATGTTGGCTTTTTTAATAAATACATTTGTTTCTTAGTTTGTTCACCAGAGTAGGTTTGCTTGTTTTTAAAGCTTCTCCTTTTTATTTTCTGTTATTGAATATCTAGGTATCTTACATCTTAGTTACAGTCTTGGGTTTTCCATGCTAAGTGAAGTTGATGAGCTTGTGACTGAGAACAGCCTGACGAAGGAGAAATTATGGACAGTTTGCTTTTATATCAGAAAGCTAGGTGCTCTTTCCTTAAAGTGTTCTGAAAGTTAGAATTCCCTCCTGGGAGGGGTCTGATTGTGACTGTCTAAAGCAATGCGAAAGAAAGACATTGTTGGGGGAGGGCGTTTAAAGATCTCACTGTCAGGTTGTAGCGTCACTTTAAAAAAAAATTGATTGTAAGGTGACGAGCAGAGGGGTTACAGTTACTAAGTCAGTGTTCAGTCCATTTGTTTTGAGCTGTGCCACCTCCTAGCTTCGCTCTCTCAAGCTGCAGCATTTACAATGTGACTTTCTTTCTCTGGCAATCACCAGGAACAGAGTATTATGGCGCATATGGGTCTTGACTCAGGAGCCACTAACATTTTTGATGAAGTAGACAAGAGTGACTTTAAAACTGACTTTGGTTCGGAGTTTCCAGTAGGTTCAATCTTCAATTCTTACTGGCATTTACCCACCCGCTCTTGTCTCCGTCCTTTTTATTTCTTGTCCTGTGTTTGAGGATGACTTTGGTGCTTGTGAGATAAGCAGGCACTGTCATTCTCCACCCTAAGTCACAAGGGTCGTGGCCTGCTACTGTCTCACCTCAGCTCACCTGTAGTTTTGGTTGCTTTCCCTCCTTTGCATACCATCACTCCCGTTTTCCCAGTGGACTACGTGTTTACACTTTTGTTCCTTTTGGGATCATCGTCTCTCAGGGTGTGAGGGTGCCGTTTCACCATGATGGTCCGTGTTGATGTGCTGCACATGTCTTGAGCTTCTAGAGAATAGCTTCCTTGGCTCCATACTTGCACACTCATTCAGGATTGTTGTGATATGTGTCATGAATCTCGGTGTGTAACTCTACAGAAATGTCTGGGGTGCAGATGGAAACCTTGATGTGTCTTATGAGTTAATTATTCTATGGGTATGTTTTTGAAGGATATGTCACCTTTTATCTTTGGCCCCTGGGGAGGTGTGGACCCATTTTTTTTCTTTTTACCTGTGTTTTTCATTTTTCCATCTTCTAATGTGGAGTCATGATCCTGACAGACTCCTACTGTTCTGACTGTGAATTCTGTTGAAATTAACAGAATTTCTACATAGCTTTGCTCAGTAGTTGCATAGGAAAAGGCATTATTCTAAAAGGCATTATTCTAAAAGGCATTATTCTGAAGTGCTAGTATGTAGCTCTGTGATTTGCTGTAGTCCTCTTTCACTTATAATCTCTGTTTGCTTTACATGACTTAGATTTTTTCTCCCATGCCTGGAGAGTCCTGTGAGAATGTCAACTCTTCCTTGGGCGGAAGGATGTCGGTGAATGATGAGAAATTCATGAAGAGAGAAAAACCAAGAGACTTAATTTTTCCATCTAATTATGACCTCCTCCGTCACTTACAGTACGCAACACATTTTCCTATACCCCTGGTAAGTCATTGCTCCTATAAGTTTATAACTGGTCATTTTATCATAAGGTCATTCATGGGGGTCTGGCCAGCCACCTACTTTTCTGGCATACCCATAATGGCAATAGGTAAGTTTTTGCATTTGCTGCTGTGTTTGTTAGAATTCTGATCAGCTAGCTTATATACTAATGTCCAAGTTTATGGTGTGATATTATAGGCTTGCTAGCTTTAGCAGAATTTTCTATATTAGCGTCTTCTCATGAAAAGCATTTGAATGACCGAAGCGGATGTCTAAATATGTTTTCCTGCTTCAATTTGAAAGTCATTTACCAAGTAGGTTTTTATGTGCACTCTGTGGAGGTGGGTACTTTTGGTTTGTACAGATGAGTAAGAGCTTTGGGGTACAGGTCAGAGAAATCACAAGAGAGACAAATGTTTATAAAATAATAAACACCAGTGTCAGTGCTGTAAGCACCGTGTGGTGTTCTGAGTCTCTTCCTGAATGGATGTTAGAGGGAATGAGAACATTGAAATTGCACAGAGGACTTGTAGTTGAGATGGGCATGGTTTGGACCGTTGGAATTTGATAATTAGATGGCAAACACATGGAGAAAACTGGGTAGTACATTTAATGTCAGAGTCTTAACAGGGAGATGTGTTAATTTTGAAGTGAGTCAGGCTTTGTTTTTTTTTTTTTTTATGAAAATTGGGCTAAGGCTGGGAATTTGGCTTAGTAGTAAAGTGCTTGCCCTGCATGCATGAAGCCCTGGGTTCGATTCCTCAGTACCACATACCTGATGCCTGTGTCTGGTCATCTGGGTGTTTGAACAAGACAGTAAACATTGGCTTCTTCATTCTGTTGTTCATGTGACCGTAGTTGCAAAGCTGATCCAGCTTTTAGTATTCTAAGGAGATCGTCCACTTCCTTACAGGAGAGAGCTTGGTGATTTTCAACAGCCTTGCCACATTGAGTCATGACATAATTCAACTATTGTGCAGTTATAACAGGGCCACTAAACAATTGGGTACAATTTTAAAATACCTTTCCACTACTAGTTGTCCCAGACCCTTCTTTACCATGAGTATAATTTAGAGTAAATTTTCAATATGGGAACTAATGCTAATACAATATTGACCTTAGGAAGGGCTTTTTTTTTGGGGGGGGGGGGGGTTATGGGGCTTGAACTCTGGGCCTGGGCGCTGTCCCTCAGCTCTTCAGCTCAAGTAAGCGCTCTACCACTTGAGCCACAGTGGAACTTCCGGTTTTCTGGTGGTTTATTGGAAATAGGAGTCTCATAGTCTTTCTTGCCCGGGCTGGCTTTGAACTGTGATCCTCAGATCTCAGCTGCCTGAGTAGCTAGGGTTACAGGCGTGAGCCACCGGCGCCCAGTGGAAGGACTACTCTTAAGAGTCTCTTTCTCTTCCTTAATGGGACAATATAAGAATGTAGTTCAAAAAAAGAGGAAGTTTTTATCTCCTGCTGATTATAGTATGTGGTCCTAGTGAGTGAACGTCAAGGAGTGAGGACGACAGGGTAGTTGACAGAGTTTCAGAAATGTGAACAAGTTTTGTGCACACTTATCACATGAGTAATGCTTGGGGTTCCAACCCGCATGGGTTCTCCCATGGGCTATTCTAAGGTACCTAGAATTTGTCTAGCACCTTCGTAAATTCCACATAGGCACTTCGTGCTTTTTGTTCCCGTGTATTTACTTTAGACTCAGAAAACATGCTGATGAGATTGGAGACAGTTTCAAGATGTAGAAAATTACGTGTGTGTGTGTGTGTGTGTGTGTGTGTGTGTGTGAGAGTGAGTGTGAGTATTGTAGCTTAAATTTAGGGCCTCATAATCTCACTTGGCTTTTTTGCTCAAAGCTGGGCACTGTACCCACTTCTGTATTTTTGTTGGTTAATTGGAGATAAGAATCTCACAGTCTCACGGACTTTCCTTCTGGTTCTTTGAGCATGATCCTCACATCCATCTTTCTTGAGTAGGTGTGTGCCTTCAGCACTGCCAGAAGATAATTTTTTGAATGGAAAAATGAACTCAGGATCAGACTTTGTCCTGGCTTCTAGGAACAGTGTATCTCTATCTCTCTGCTTACTTATATATTCACATGTGCGCGCGTGCGTGCGCGCGCACACACACACACACACACACACACACACACACACACACACCATGCACGTGCACGCACATGTGCACCTCAGTATGCACCACTGCACCCAGCTAGAAGCACTACTTCTCAGTCTTGACAGACAGTGCAGCAGTGCAAATGTGTTACCAACTGTTTTGCTATGAGTTTTTACTAATATTGAAAGGAGACACGGAAGTAGGTTTACCTGTACCATTAGTGTCTAGACCACAGGAAGTGGAGTTAATTTGACCCCCGGTGAGACTTAGGAAGGAAGAGTCATCTGTACTTTAAAGCACAGGCCCCACCTGGGCCATCACCCTTCTGGACCTGAAAGCCTCTGTCTGCCCTGCAGGGCGCCACGCTTAGTACAGCCTTCCAGTGAAGAGTGGCCATGTCTGTTTTAAGACTGTTTGGTGCTATTTTTTTATACCTTCGATGAGAGCATGTTGTTCCAAAACAGTAGCTTCAGGAGGCAATTTAACAGCTTCCCTTGAAAATGTAACAGAGACTGTATACTCTATATTATCACATAGTAAAAACAAGAAATCCCTAGATTGATCATTACTAACCATAGCAAGCCTTCAGAATCTACAGGTGGAATGTAAATATATTTGACATATTAGAAATAATACATAGGAGAAATCATACATGCATTTGCAAGCTTTTTTAAAAATAAAAATTGCCAGTTACCATGTTAGAAAACTTGGAGTTTTAAATGGAAAGATTATTGTCTTTTGAAGTGATGATCGATTAGAAATAGGTGATTTCATGTAAGTTGCTTTTTTAAAAAAAAAAAATGTAACCTGAAGCCAATTAAAGTTACACTGCGACAGGGTTCCTGATAACTTACGTGGAGGCTGTTTTGCATATTTTCACCAAGAAATCCTAAGCATTAAAGTGAGAACTCTGGGTCTACATTCTTAATTCTCTTTGTTTTTAAGGTATTAGCATTTTGACATTGGTTCAGTAAGACTTTTTAGTTTTCTTTTGCAAGTATTTGGATTAAGGTGCATAAGAAACCCACAGAATGTGGCTGGCTAGAAGCTGAGAGCCAACCATGAGCAGCGAGGTGAGGGTTGGCACTACCCCAGAGCGCAAGCCCTACTGCAGATCCCCACCTCCATGAGCAGGAGGTGAGGGCACTACCCCAGAGCGCAAGCCCTACTGCAGATCCCCACCTCCATGAGCAGGAGGTGAGGGTTGGCACTACCCCAGAGCACAAGCCCTACTGCAGATCCCCACCTCCAAGAGCAGGAGGTGAGGGCACTACCCCAGAGTGCAAGCCCTACTGCAGATCCCCACCTCTAAGAGCAGGAGGTGAGGGCACTATCCCAGAGCGCAAGCCCTACTGCAGATCCCCACCTCCAAGAGCAGGGGGTGAGGGTTGGCATTACCCAGAGCGCAAGCCCTACTGAAGATCTCCACCTCCAAGAGCAGGAGGTGAGGGTTGGCACTACCCCAGAGCGCAAGCCCTACTGCAGATCCCCCATCTCCCAAAGAGCACAGCCCTTGCCTGCATTGAGAAAAAGGGTTTCTGCAGAGACCAGCGCATTGGCTGGCTAGCTGTAATGTTTTGTTGCCAAGATTCTTTTTTATTTCTCTTTGAAAACTTGAAGTAACTTTATGGTATAGTACGCCAAGAAGTGAAAGCATGAAAAGGCCCATAATTTATGCGTTTTCTTCCCATTTTGACTTTCCTTTTTGAGCCTTAGTCTCCTTTGGTGAAGCAAAAGTCTCTGTCACCTTTAATCGGAATGCTTTCGAGAGATGATAGTATAGGATAGGGTCAAAACAGAGATTGGACACAGCGAGGAGCAGTGTGGCCTCCTTGGCTTTGAAGAGTGAAATCCTGGTTGAGCAGTCTGTTATGAATTCTGTCTGGCTGAGGGTGTATGGGATGCGAACGATGTGGTAAGGAACAAAGCAAATAATGTAGGCAGTGGTCACTAAAAGTATGTTTATAAGGGCTCTTTTCACATTTGGATAGCTTTCATTGTCTTTGTTTCTATAGAGTTGTCGAATTACAAGGCAGTTGGATATTAAAATGATGACTGAGAAGTTTAAAAATATTGCTACACATAGGAAATTTGTCAGCAAATGCCAGTTTCTTCCAAACTCCTTTTTAAAGTCCATGCAGCCCACCTCTGCCTCTTCCTTGATGTCCTTGATGGGGATCACCATGTTGGGCACCATTATCAGAAGGACCATGAGCCACACCACAGTTGATATCATTTTGGCAAATCCAGGTTCTTGTATTCGGTAGATCTTGCAGCTGCATATCAACTGTAGACAGCGATCCATGCTGACGAAGGCCAAGAAGATGATGGACAAGTACATATTGATGTAGATAAGGCAGGCTGTTACTTGACAGTGGAATATCTTCAGCTTCCAGGGTGCCACGCCCAGGTCAACCACAATCTTCACTGGTAAAGCCAGTGTGAGCAGGAAATCAGCCGTAAGAAGATTGATTAAGTAGATGCTTACACACTTGTGGTTTGTAGTGTTCTGTATAAAAGCCCAGGTTGCAAAACAACTTCCAATAATTCCAACAAGGAAAACTAAATAAAAGAAATATGTAAATGGCTCTAGATCTCTGTAAATGGGACAGAAGAATGAACTGTTTGTCATCTTGAGGGAAAAGGAAGATTTTTCAGTTAAAATAAAAATCCAGTGAATCTGTTAAAAAGAAAGTGCAGGGTGGTTAGTAGTTAGAATTACAAACAACTTTCCTTTTTTTCTATTATTACCTTTTATTATTAGCCATTGACTACAGGTGACTGTATTCTATAATTACATGTATATAAACAGTTTAGGACTCAGTAGTCATGAAAAAATATTAGAATAAATATACATTGAGTAATAATAAAAAAATCAAATAGCTCTACTTCCAAAGCTTGGGCAACAGAAGAGAACTAAAGTGTGTTGGAGTCCCCCCCCCCACTACCTCAAGTCTGATCCAAAGCTTTTTTTTTTTGTCGGTCATGGGGCTTGAACTCTGGGCCTGAGTGCTGTCCCTGAGCTCTCTAGCTCAAAGTGAACACTCTGCCACTTGAGCCACAGCACCACTTCCGGTTCTCTTGTGGACTTTCCTGCCTAGCCTAGCTTTGAACTGTGATCCTCAGATCTCAGCCTCCTGAGTAGCTAGGATGTCAGGCGTGAGCCACCAATGCCCAGCTTGATCCAAAGCTTTTATCTAACAAAACCTTTTATAAGCAAAACAACTTGCCTTGAAAAACATTGTAAGGAAAGAGAAGAAGAATGATGGAAGGAATGGCCTTGATCAGATGCATTGTGTACATAAGTTAACATGCTGGATGGAAACTAACCAATGACAAAAGCCATTTGTCCTAGAATACCTTGTCTTTGTATTTCCTGTCATTCTGTTGGTGAGTTCACTGTGTGCTCTGTGGGCTGGTGGGAACTCCCGTGCTAGATCTGTGAGGAAGCGTGGGTTTTCCGTTGCCTGCTGCCCTGACTTTCAGGAAATCCCTGTAGATTTCTTAGCAGAGGAGGTGAGTGGCCAGAGATGGAGAAGCAGAGAAAGGAAATGGGTTGTGGCTAGTGACTGAACAGCTTGCAGTGAGGCTTTCTGGTTTTCTCCATTTCTTTTTGTTTTGTTCTTGTTTTTGGTGGGTTGTGGGTCTTAAACTCAGGTCCTGGGTGCTGTTCCAGTGTCCCTGAGCTCTTTTGCTTAAGGCTAATGCTGTACCGTGTAAGCCACTGCACCACTTCCAGTTTTTGAGTGATTAATTGGTGATAAGAATCTTAGGGGAGGGGCGGGAGAAGGTGGCTCAGTGGTAGAGCGCTTGCCTTGCATGCCTGAGGCCCTGGGTTTGATTCCTCAGCACCACAGAAGCAAAAAGAAAAAAGCCGGAAAGGGTGCTGTGGCTCAAGTGGTAGAGTGCTAGCCTTGAGCTGAAGAGCTGAGGGACAGCGCCCAGGCCCAGAGTTCAGGCCCAGGACCGGACCCCCTCCCCCCCCCCCCCAAAAAAAAAAGAATCTTACTGGGACTTTGCTGCCTGGGCTGACTTTGAACCACAATCCTCAGATTTCAGCTTCCTGAGTAGCTAGGATTACAGATGTGAGCCACCAGTTCCCAACTTTGTTCTTTCTACTTCCTTCCTTTTTCTTTTTTCCTCCTCCCCCCTTCCTTCTTCCCCCCTTTCTTTTCCCTCCTCCCCCCCCCCCCCCCCCCCCCTCTGTAAATCTTTGTCCTAAAAGACTTATTTTTAGTTCCTCATGCTGTCAGAGGCTAGGCGACTAGGGAGGTCAGGGATCACAGTAACTTTTAAGATTACAGAGTGATAATTAGAAAATAGATTCTGTATTGTGAAACCTATTAGAGTTCCAGAGGTTTCATTGTTCTTTAAAATAATTCAAGTACAGTTTTGCTGTTACTATGCAGGCGTTGCACAGAGAAAGGCTAGCATTCATAAGCTTGGATAGTGCCACCCTTTCTTCGCTTTCCCCCTCATCAGAAAGAAGTGAAGGTGGTGTTGGGGTGGTGTTTGCTGCCTCCTTTCCCTCCCCCAGTTTCCCGGTGGGAGAGGCCTGTGCTGTCTAAGGCACTGTGTCCTCTGCCACGGGCTCTGAAGTACTTGAAGTGGTCACGTGAGCTGCAAGCAGAAGATATGCTCCATACTTTGAAGTTTTAGTGTAAATGACACCTTTTTGCACAAATCATTCTTGTAAGGTCTGCCTGGGTAGTGCCGGCCCTGTGCATGCACCTCCCTCCCTCCTGGCTACGCCTCCAGCCGGCCTGTTACCTCGATAACCGCACACCTGGCCTCAGCCACCTCCCCCTCCTGCTGAGTCACATCCTGGGCCACCTCTGGTCACAGGCCTCCCTTCTGACCAAAGGAGGGTCCCAGGCCCTGAGGTCACTTACGGATCCTGTGTGGCCACACCTCTTCCTGTCCTTGGCCTAGATAAGTCCTGGCCCAGGGGTGGGTCACCCCAGGCGGGGACAGCAGTTAGGTAATAAACTTCTTCTCCTGCCTGAATAGCACACGGTGTTCTCTTCATCAGCTACCCAATGAAACCTACCTACTTAATATACCTTACAATTCTTTGAACCAATTCTTTATTGATGTTTTTAGGTTGAACAGTTGAAATGATGTTTTTGGTATATTAGGTTCAATATACTAATAAAATCATTTGTTTTGCTTTTTTAAAATGCAACTACTAGAAAAGCTTAGATCACTTTTGTGGTTTGATTGTATCACTATTGGACAGTACTAATGTAGTTCTGGGAAGTGATTTTAAGTAGTTTTATGAAAAGCAAAATGTGAGATTCTAGATATTCCAGTATCAAAACTTGAGCATTGGGTGTTTTTTTTCCCCACTGTGAAATTTTGGTGGTTCAAAATCCCAGAAGTATGGCATTCCTTTAGAGGTACTGAGATTGACCTCCTTAGGGTAAGAAGGTCTTCTTGTTGTGTCTTCTTTGTCAGCTCTTCCCTGCCCCGCCCCTCTGCTTCCTTGGATTGAGCTCAAGTTCATAATCTGCTCATGATTGGCTGGTTTGCACTGGGTTAAATGTGTTTATATCAGCTGACTTTGAAATAAGATTAATGGTACACATTTACTCTCAGAATATACCTACACCCTCTGCTATTTCTTGAACCATCTAAGATTTTGTCTTCTGAGGTATGGCTTAATTTCATCTTATAAAAACCAATTAAGGAAAGGGATGGCAGGGGAAAAACAAAGGAGGCAGTAACAATGCTTAATAGGAAATGTGCTCATTACTTTACTCGTGTAACTGTAACCTCTCTGTACAGTATCTTTACAGTAAGAAATATGTAGGAAAAAAACTAATTAAGACAAAAACCTTATATTTAAAAAATCCTTCTTTGTCCCAAAGCAGTTCTTTTACTTTCTGACCAAAGCAACACACTTGGATAAGAAAAGTCCATTTTTCTCACACCCAGGGCCTCAGGAACTTGGTTTGGTACTGGCTGTGGATCATCCTATGGACATTAAACAAACAACTTTTTTTTTTTTATTCCAGTCCTGGTCCTTGAACCCAGGGCCTGAGTGCTGTTCCTGAGCTTTTCTGCTCAAAGCGAGTGCTCTACCACTTGACCCACACCTCTACTTCTGACTTTTGGAGGTCAGAGCCATTTACTTTTCCTTCCCCAGACTGGCTTTGAACTGTGATCCTCAGCTGTCAGCTTCCTAAGAAACTAGGCATGAGCCACTGTTGCCCAGCTCTGTTGGTTTTAACGAGCAGGTTTCTTATGGGTTATAACAGGCAAAGTTTCAGATACAACCTTTTTCAAAAGGTAAAATAATAAATAGTAAATAATGGCTTTGGACACAGAAGCCACTTCAGCAATTAAGTCTCTCTTGAAAACAACCTTTTCAAGTCTTTCTAAATATGAATACTCACATTGAGTGTATCTTGAAAAAACAGGATGTACAGATTAGTAGGGTAGATGAACATAAGACATTCTAAATGTAAGTGTCACTTAAAAGTTCCATGTCTTAGCCCCTTCCTCAGGGCTGTAGGTCCATGAATAAAGCCACCCTGTACACAGCAGCAGTAGTTGAGCACTCTATGTCCAGTGACTGCCTTATACATACATCATCCCGGTGGAGGCAGTTCTTGTTCTAAGCTGTGCTTTCGCAGATGAAAAACGGAAACACAGTGAGGTTAGATCCCTTGGCCTGTATAGCTGGAAGTGACAGAGCCAGGACTCCAGCCCAGCCCATCTCCTCAGAAGCCACAGGCAGCTCTCATAGTATCCGTGATGACTCTAATGGGTTAAAGTGCGCAGCCAGGCCTTTCTCCAGGGCTTCTAAACAATTTCCATGTAAACGAATTGAAACATTCTTAATCTGTAAGTGCTATTACAAAGAGGGAAGCTGTTGATGTATTTTGATGTTTCATCTTTATGTATCTAAAAGCTGAATTTAATTTTAGCCTGTATATTTAGACTTTGTTTTCAAAGTTCTATAGCCTAGTTTCTTCCTGCTCCCCCCACTGTCTTTGTCTCTTATTGGTGTTGGGGCTGAGCCAGCCCAGGGCCTGCTGTGCAAGCGACACGCCATCTAGTACTGAGCTGCTCCCTGCACCTCAGCCTTAATTTTCTACTGAAGACTGGTGGGGTCTTTACTGTCTGTGATCAGTGTTTGAAGCCTGGGACTTTGATGGTAGATAAACCTTTAATGATACTGTCGGTCCTTTCTTCACTTCACTCGAGGAGCCTGAGGTTCGGTGCTGGTGATTGCTCAGAATTTTTCATGTTTGAAAAAGATTAGCATCTGTTCTCGATCCCTTTCATGCTTTCTACCCTGTCTTTCCTATTGTTGAAATCTGTCTGCCGTCCTGAAGGGAGTTCTTTGTTTCCAAATACTGTTACAGGTTGCTCTGACTTTACGACTCTTGGCTTTTGATATATTTGTATCTTAGAATTTTGAGCCTACTTTTCTGTACATTGATCACATTCTCACCTTTGCTTATTTGAACTTTAACGTTGTAGGATTTTGACTTAAGCTCTTTTGTTTCAAATGTTATCTAATAATAGCAACGTGACAATGTGTTCCTCTAAGTTCCCCTCTGCTTGCACAATTACCTTATATAGTCTCATAATGACTTACTTGATAAGAGAATTAGTTTTGGT